CGTAGCAATTTTATTCCCAACTGATAGCTCTCTCTTTCAACCGCTGTGTACTTTACTTTGAAATTACTATTCAATTTTTCGTATAACGTTATACATGTGTGTGAAGAAGAAACGTGTATTTCTTCTCTTCTCACATGTTCTTTCACGTTAAGCTTTATACAAACAAGACGTAAATGAGCTAATCGTAACTTTTTTGTACGGTTATTAAAAAAAAACGAAAGTGTTCCCAAAAAAAAAATCTGAGTCGTACATTTTGTAGCCCACCCCACACTTCACTGAGGCCCCCACAAAAATTTTCTTCTCACTTTTTTGTCACAGTTGAATAGAGCGCCTCGACTTACATAGGGAAAAGTAGTTGTTAGACTTTGGAACTGGATTTCGGGTTTAAAAAGTTTCAGAATACTAGCTTTTTATAAACAGACTAATTTTAATGAGATTTTCAATAAAAACAAAAATTGCTGCTTCATGAAGAAAATTGATTTTCTTTTCTTTCTTATATTCGAGTACTTCATGGAGGCCCAACAAGTAATGAAAACAACGTCTCAAGATAAATTCTTCAAAAATTTCACCATATAGTTAAAATTCCACGTAGAATTCAATAAAAATAAGAACTAATTTTCTGAAGGATATTCAGAAGGTCCCCAGAGGGGTCTGACAGAATTTGAATAACTGCTGAACGCGAATAGTTAGCGACAAAGGGTTTTCATCGCCCGAGACACCGCATATTGTTAATTTTTTATTTTAGAATATGTTGATCGACTCTGTCTTTTGCACCGGTTTTGAAGCTGTCTTTTGTTCGAATATTCGATTAGCAAATTCCCGAACGCCCAGAAAACATCTGCAGCCTCCGTTTTGAGACTTTTGGGTATTGACCCCTGTAGAACGAAAGAAAGGCAGAAAATTATTTTAACTACGCAAGATTGTGGGAAACTGGGTACTCTGTCAATGCGGAGACTAAGAGCGAGAACTCTGCCTTTCTGTCTACCAGGATACCCACAGTTTTGTACAGATATTTTTCGCGCTTGGTAAAGAGTAGTTATTTTTCGAAAGGATTGTTCAGTTTGACAGTTGAGGTCGTCAACATTAGTAACACATTTAAGTACAAGTCGGATGTGCTATAGTCAGAATAAATCAATACTCTTGTCCGGTAACTTATGCTTAACGAATTGAATGAATGTCAGAGACGATGAGTGTGGGTTTGATCTACTTTAATGTCACGAAGATGTCGTTGTGGTTTGTTCGACATCTGAGAGCTTACGAACTGCGGTTCTTAAGGCTGCTGGAGTACAATCTGTAGAAGAATTTAAAGAATTTTATCAAGGAGGTAAAAAAAGATCAGGCTCAACATCAGCAGGATCATTAGCCTGTAAGAAAATCTTGTGTATACCATGGTCACCGCCGTCAGATTCCAATCAGCTGGACAATCGACAATCGATAGCTATATTCGTAGCAGAAGCAATGAATTTTGCTGTTAGTAATGATTACGAAAGTATTGCTGAACGAAATGCTTTTAACTTGAATATCAGGCATTTATAATTCGTTTTTAGCTTTTCCTACCATTGGCTGTGGCCAGTATGGCATAACTGCTGAAACAATAATCAATGAGGTTGAAAACAATTGAATAGACGTCGAACACAGTTAGTTATATCATTCGTTATTTTACTAGAGCAACAGAATGTTCATGATGAATTTTGTAAACATCTAAATTTAATTAAAACAAAAATTGTGCAACTTCCTAACCGAAACAGGCTGCACTTCTATCAGAAAATATGTCCATTGCTCACCAAAATAACTTGAAAAAACTTCAGTGTTCGATTCTTTAAACCTTCATTTTCAGTGGTCAAAATTACATTGACTACGTCAAACGACGTTAATATTGAGAAATGTCGAAATGTCTGTTGAAGAAATGAGCAAACAGAATATACAAAAATCAACATTCACTAATAAACAAGAATGGTCTCAATCACCAATTAACAAGTATTATAGATATTGTCTAGAGCTAAAAGTCTTACCCATTGTTGATATTGATAATGGTACAATTGAATTTACAGGACAAAAAGAGAGTCGAAATCAAGCTGAAAAATAATTTCGAGCTAGTTATACACATCTGGAAACAAGCACAAATAGAAGTTCTATCCTGTGACATTATCTGGTTAGTGCACGATACAAAAACTGATCAATGGAACTGTTATTAAGCGAAATTGAACGCTGAAATAGAAGAAGCTTATCACAAAAAATTGCTAAATGTAAGTCGCTGATTCTTATCATTTAGTAATAGCTTCTATAGTATTATTTACAGATTAATGTGATTGATGAAAATTCAGTAAAAATTTGTATTAATTTTGATAAAATGCATGCAATATATCCATGGAATGTTATTCGATCAGTACGACGGGAAAATGCTAATGAAAGTTTACCAGATGTACGACTGATAAATCGCCGTTAAGTGTATACTAATATCAGCTTATTTTAGGGTGGACGTATCTACTACAAATCGTATTCAATTAAACCCATTATTAGCGGAATATTTGCAAACAGTGGAACATTTTCATCAGACAATGACTGGTCATTACTCCTAGATTATTAAAATTGAACGAATTCAAAATGAGCGTTGGTAATTAAAAAGAACATGGATTAAATATTCGATATTTTAAAACTATGACGGTTTTAGGTACAAACAATATGCAGTTCATCGAGACGATTTCAATCAACGATATGTAAAGCATCATACAAATTTGGAAAAATTGTTAGTTCATGGTTGTTTGGAAACATCTGCTTTACAAATAATTCAAGATGGCTTTAATACATCACATGCTGGCGTTAATGGTATATGTTCTACTACCGTTACTTTTACTTAGTTTTTTTTTAGTTCTTTTATTCTAGATGTTATGTACGGGTGAGGCGTTTATTTTGCTGACAGAACTCATTATTCACATCAATATGCAAAACTAAATAATCAAGATGAACAGCATATGTTTTTAGCACATATTCTCGTTGTTAATTCAATTACGGGAAATTGAAATATAAAGGTACTATACCAATGGGATATGATACAACAACGAATACTGATAAATCAATATTTTTGTCGTTTGTCATGATGCGCAGTCTTACGCTGATTACCTCATTACATACAAATAAATCTTATTTGTCTAAATCTTGTTGTGATTATTAATCCAAGTGATTTAAAAACTTATATTGTATACTGTTTATTAGTGGACATCTTTTTAGACCCTAGATTATTTAAAATGATATTGTTTTACTGGGTATACTTTCCTCAAGTCTGAAGGTATTTTGTGCACTAAGGTAATTCGGCTGTTTATCCTCTGACTTCTTTTCTTGCTTTTATTTCTATATAAATTTCTTCATATATAGTATATGTCATCATTAGTATGCAGTAGCAACATCGTTTTTATCAGGAAGTGGCTATGTGCACTCAGGTGCAAAAGATTCTCACTAAATACACTCACAGGTTCAAAGAGATTCGAAATATCTTTCTTTCCTCGTTTCATACTTGAGTGACATAAGTTAGATGTAATCTGAGATCATGTACGAAAATACAAGAGTTTAAAAGTAAATTAGTCTCGACGGAAAATAATATAAAAGTTTTTAGAATCTATAGTGTGAACAGAGAGTATGATCAGATCTATTACCCGTTACGATGTGGTTTTTCT